CCCCCTGGCTACACCCTCCTTTCAGGGAGTTGGAGAGAGCAAGAAGGTCTCCCCTCAGCCTCCTTTTCTCCAGGCTGAACAGCCCCAGCTCCCTCAGCCTCTCCTCACAAGACTTTTCTCCAGACCCCTCACCAGCTCCGTTGCCCTTCTCTGGACCCGCTCCAGCCCCTCAATGGCTTTTTTGTGGCGAGGGGCCCAAAACTGGACACAGGCCTCGCTCAAGGTGGGGCCTCACCAGTGTCCAGTACAGGGGGACCATCACCTCCCGAGTCCTACTCACCACACTGTTCCTGATACAGGCCAGGACTCTGGTGGCCTTCTTGGCCTGGGTTAGAGCCAGGTTCTTTCCTGAGCCCAGAGGAAGTCCCCCCACAAAATGGCAGGCAGGGGCACAAACTGCCTGCTGAGGCGAAGAGAGCCTGTACCAGCCTGCCTTTACTGAGGTATCTTCTCAAGGATGAAGTCCTCACGTCCTGAACAACCCCTCCTGCCAAGTGGCCAGCCCCCCTCCTGATGCCAACACTCAAGCTGCATGGAGGCAAGAAGGCCACCTGGGTGTAGATGCCCACGGCTCAGCTGGCCAGGATGCTGGTGGCCTTCTTGGCCTGGGTTAGGGCCAGACGTCTCTGGACCCGCTCCAGCCCCTCAATGGCTTTTTTGTGGCGAGGGGCCCAAAACTGGACACAGGCCTCGCTCAAGGTGGGGCCTCACCAGTGTCCAGTACAGGGGGACCATCACCTCCCGAGTCCTACTCACCACACTGTTCCTGATACAGGCCAGGACTCTGGTGGCCTTCTTGGCCTGGGTTAGAGCCAGGTTCTTTCCTGAGCCCAGAGGAAGTCCCCCCACAAAATGGCAGGCAGGGGCACAAACTGCCTGCTGAGGCAAAGAGAGCCTGTACCAGCCTGCCTTTACTGAGGTATCTTCTCAAGGATGAAGTCCTCACGTCCTGAACAACCCCTCCTGCCAAGTGGCCAGCCCCCCTCCTGATGCCAACACTCAAGCTGCATGGAGGCAAGAAGGCCACCTGGGTGTAGATGCCCATGGCTCAGCAGCCACAAGCCCTGGGTGCAGACGGGCATGGCCTCACCTGAACAATGGGCTTCCCAAGAGACCATGATCCCCAGAGGAAGAGCAGGGTTGGGACCAGCATCGGGGCAGACCCGCTCACCCAGAGCTGCTCTCAGTCCTGCAGACAGGCCCTGCCACCAGCTGCAAATGGGTCATTTCATGTCCTGCTCCGTCCCTGGGACGAGCCAGGCTCAAGAACACCATAAATTCTGCCCCAGGATCAGCCATTGCACCGATGGAGACCATTTATGACCCATGTGCAGCTACTGGGGCTTGGATCAAGCCCATGGTGGTGGGAGGCAATGCTCGTTGCTCTGCGGGGGCACCTTTCCTCCAAAAACACCCTCACCTCCCTTTCTTCTAAGCCACAGCCCACTCAGGACACCAAACTGTCAAGTTTTGGGACCATTCCTCCCCAGGAGAGCCAGTGAGGAGGAAGGAGAGCCCCGCAGCTGGAGGAAGGCTCAGGCTTCTGCCCCCCACCGCTCCCCAGAACTTGCCCCACGCTTCCCTGTCCCCACCGGTCACCAGCCCTTCCCAGATCAACGCCAGGCACAAAGGGAAGGCAGGAGATCCCACACCAGAGAGATGCCACCAAGCCCAGCTAGATGCCGTGGGGTGCCATACCCACCAGCTCTCCCACACCCAGTGCCCTCCAGGAGACCCAGAGGCTCGTTACCAGTTCAGGCAAAAATTGCATTGAGAGAAACAAACGACTCAACAGCAGCGGTGTTAAAAGTCTTATATATTTATTGCATTCTTAACAAAAATACTTTTAAAGAGAGAATTCTGTCAGCATGTACAAGACATGGAGATACCGGGGTCGAGCACAGCAGTTTGCTTTGACACAGGCACTTACTTCTACAGCCAGTTAACACGATGGGTGCAGGAGGAAGTCTCCTTTGCCAGCGGGTACAGAAAAGCCATTCCACCAAGGGGTCTACACAGGGCAGGAGATACATCCCCAGATCTCGGGCCAATCTGTAACAGTCCACAGAGGAAACTGGGGGAGACATCAGGCAGTTTATAGCACAAGGTGACCTTCCTCCTGACCACAGCCCAGCTTTTGGAGGGGACGGGGGGTTTGCACTGAAGGCTGACAACAGGGTTCTCACTCATAAACTCATCCACGTGGGCAATCTGGTGGCAGTGACGGTGCCAACTCCCTCCAGTGCCCAGCACCTGCAGGAGCCTCCTCCTCTGCAGACCTGAGGGTTCTTGGAAGGGATCCTCCCCACCCCAGACAACATCAGAGGAGCTCATCCTACCAGTATTATCCATGGGAGAACATCAGCAGGGTCCAAATATTACAAAAATATAAAATACTACTTCTAATCTATAGCAGCAGCACTGTATTGACTCAGAAAGCCTTTAAAACATATCACCCTTTTTTTTCAGTCATTCTCTTGTCATTCATCAATCAGATCCGCTTCTACCAGATTTCCCAACCTCCCCTTCAACTGAAGAGAGACTGTGGCTTTGGCAGAACACAAAGATTACAAAAGAAGTAGAACAACATCCTCAGAGGCAGGCGAGTGGGTACTGCCCTGGTCTGGCAACAGCACTGGGAGGAATGTCCTCAGCATTGAAACCAGCCTGGGTCACTCCTCAGAAGACAGGAGGTTTTTTCCCTCCTTGCCGGACCTCTACTTCCTCCAGCCTGGGTCACTCCTCAGAAGACAGGAGGGTTTTTTTCCTCCTTGCTGGACCTCTACTTCCTTGAGCAAGGGCCTTTTACCGCCCCACTAAAAATAAATTACTTGAATTAGAATTATAGAACAATTGAAAAGAAGAAAGGAAAAGCACATCAGGAACGCCTGACACAGCAGACGTGCAGTGGGCTTGCCAGGAGAGAAGCCAGGGCACTACCCTTCCAAAGGACAGGCCAGACAGATTTAACGAAGATCCTTCAAGATCACGTAAAATGAGCATCCTTCTGCTATACTGAGCTGCCTACGTCTGATTCCCACTGAAGTTTATACAACTTTTTGGCCAAGCCTGTAGTCCAGACACAGCAGAACGATGTGCATTCATATTAAATAGTTTCCTGCAGTACAATCGGACAGCCCGGAGAGCTAGCCGTGCCTGGGTACCACCTCAGCCCTCTTCCCTGCTGAAGCATATCACAATAATGATATTATCCAGATTTTTCCAGACATGGGGCCACCACAGCAGGCACCGATGTGCAAATCAAGAATCACAGAATGATATAGGGTTGGAAGGAACCTCTGGAGAACATCCAGTCCAACCCCCTGCCAGAGCAGGGCCACCCAGAGCAGGTTGCACAGGAACGTGTCCAGGTGGGGTTTGAATGTCTCCAGAGAAGGAGACTCCACCACCTCCCTGGGCAGCCTCTGCCAGGGCTCTGCCACCCTCACAGCAAAGAAGTTCCTCCTCATGTTTAGATGGAACTTCCTACGTTCAAGTTTGTGCCCCATTTCCTCTTGTCCTGTCCCTGGGCACCACTGCAAAAAGACTGGCCCCATCCTCTTGACACCCACCCTTTAAGTATTCATAGGTGTAGAAGAAGACAGACATGTTGTAAAACAGCTGCCACATTGTGTTGTCACCACCTGAGGTGACATTATTCAAGCTTAGTTTCAGAATTGGGGTTGTATACGGGAACCTCATGCAGCACTAAAGCAATTTGGACGCTGCACCACAGCTCCTTCTGGTTCCTTCTCACAGATTGGGGAAAGCAAGTGGTACAAAACCATCACTGCTACGATTTTAACCTAAATATCTGTGAATTTAGATTGTAAACTCTTCACGATAGGAGAATACGGTACAGATCCCACCCTACATAACACTGAATAAGTGCAAAGTAACTGTGCTGAAGTCGACACAATCACAGTGACACACAACCAAACCGTTCCTGAGGTCAGAAGCAGGCCCTGTACCTGCAGCCTCTCACGTTTTGAAGAGGGCAAGGTGGTTCAAATCTGAAGATCACAGCATGCAGGAAAACAATCCCATACAATTCTCTTTAAATGTTGTCCTATGATGAAAAAACCTGCATTTTAACTGCAAGTGCGAAGGGTGGGTAAGGTTTTCAGACTGGAGCAGACAAAGATTAAGCTCTTTGATCTACGTGCGTCGCGGCACTGCAGGATGCAGGCAGGTGCCACAGCAGCCCTTCCCAGCACTCCCCAAAGCACACAGCGCTCAGACCTGTCCTCCTCTCCTCAACACCCTGCCTTCTATCTACCCTTCCCTGAGCAAGCTCTGCTTTTCCACCCCCCCTCCCCAAAACCTGGCTGTGAGTCTCAGTAAGCCCTGGGCTGCCCATTATTGCTGAACGCAGGATAAAAATAACGAGCAAGGAGAGTCTCTAGAGCCGTCGGGACGTCTCTCTGCACAGTGCATATACTCATTTGCAGGAAGATGCTGGGACGGCAGCAGGTAGGGTAGATTTCTGGGTTGATTGCAAAGGGAGCTCTGTAACACGCTGTCCCAGTAAAATAACGTTTCACAGGCAGGAGAAGAGATGGAGAGAACGATTCCTATCGCAGCTCTTAGCTTATAGAGCGTTCAAAGCACGGGGGACGCCAGTGAAAACTCCTAATCTCTATCAACAGGAAGATGTCCTACACCCCAAGCTCTGCAAGATCTGAGATGCCTCTTTGCCGTCGCGGGGGGCCAGCCCTACTGCTCAGCTGCCATAACTCATGCTGTTCTGCTTGCTAGCAGGGGGAGGGACGGGCTGGGGCGGCTGCTGACCCTCCCCACAGTGTCCTGGATGGCATGGAGGGGCCACGTGAGCATGCAGCAGCTCAGGAAGGAGCACCCTTCTTTACTTTACAGGAAGCAGACTAAAAATGGTGTTTTCTCTTTCGTGACCTGGTAGTCCGTGCAGGAGGAGCCCGTTTTGGGGGCTTTTGGTTAGACTCTGCACCGGGCTCAGGTTTGGAGCAAGCTGCTTGCAGAAGAGACCCCTGCATGACACCAGGATCCTGGATCCTACGGAAAGCCTGGACCCCGTCACGGATTTCCGACAGGGTCTGGCACATCTGGCCAAGCTGGCTGGTGAGGTCAGCCATCCTCTGACCGATGAGGTGCATGCTGCCTGCCATGTCTCTGTGGACAGCCACCAGGTCCCGGCAGAACTGCCGGAAGAGGTCTGTTTGCTGCGTGTGGGCATGGAGAAGCTGGCGATCGAAGGCGGAGAGGGGGGGGCTCCTCGTGCGGGGCCGCGGGGGTCTGCAGGCCGAGGCGGCGCGCGGGGAGGGACGGTGCAGCTCCTGCCTTTGGCTGGTGGCTTCCGAGTGCTCCGATGAGGATGAAGTGCGGAGGAAGGAGGGCCCGGAGAGCTGGGTGACTCCACCTGCACCGGCCCCCTGCAGCGACGAGAAGCGGTGCTCCCGAGAAGTGCCCGGCGTCTCTTCCTCAGCTTAAACAGAAGAGGAAGCATGAATTATTAACGGGAAATCCCTCGCCAATCTGACTTCTGTTTCATGGTATCTCAAAGCACATGGAAAAAAAGGTGCTTTCCCCTCCCCCTGTCTGCCAGTGGAGACAAGCCTGTAGCTCCTGATGCTGAACTCAACATGCACGTGCTGCAGCGTTAGCGTCTGGGTGACAAGCTCAGCCGTAAGAGGCCTGAAGAGCAGGAGAACCCCGTCAACCGAGGAGGAATCCAAGCTGCCATGGTATCCTGGACACAGCATTGTTCATTACTAGAATATAAACCCATTTTAGACAGTTGCAATGACTCCCCTTCCCCAAAACCGTAAGCAGCTGGAACACTACAACATCTTGGAGGGACAAAGGCTCCTGGCCTTTGGTCCAGTCTCGGAACACCCTGACACATTCAGTTCCTCAGGCCAAAAAACCCTCCTTCCATGAAATTTCTGACATCCTCTGCACTGAGGAGAAGCACAGACGCAGTGTCTGCTGTTTGCCAAGTCTGTACTGCAAGGCCACCGCGGGGCTTGGCGTCACTAAGAGAAGCAGGCAGTTAAGCATAGCAGCAACAGGGCCCTGTATTAATGGGGAAAGTGCACTTGATGCAAAACCCAAACCGAAGCAGAACACCATGGGAAAGTTCTCGTTAGTCTGATAAGTATCTAGTGATGTGCCAGTTGACGGGTACGGGCACATCAAGAGGAAGAAGAGACGATACTTCACTTGTTGCAGCTGCCCGCTGTCTCCTTGCACAAGCTGTACCCATTTTACACCTGAAATAGCCCAACTGGCTTCCAAAAGAGATGCAAAGAATGACCAAGTCCCACTTTGTCAGTTCCTGATCATCTTTGTCCTTGCTTTCCCACTAACAACATCACTTCAGACATAAGACCTAAGGCAGTAGGACAATGCCACCCACGAAGTGTTAGTTGGCTCACTCTCCAAGAAGTTATTCCCTCCTCCTCTCCTTTGTATCCCTAAAAGCTCACGGACCAGGAATCTGCACCTCCACACAAGAAAACCGCAGGCACGCAAGTGGGGAAAGAAACTGTGAGAAGCAGCTTGTGGTTCAGCACTGGGAGGTGCCTGAGAGCTGTGGTGGAAGGAGATAAACCTCGAAATCAGGGCCAGCTGTTTCTTAAACAAAAAATACAAACCGTGAAGAAGGGAGTCATTACCATCTGCCTTTTTCACAGCACTTGTGCTGGGCTTTCAGATCACTAGTAAGATATCACCGGTGGCCTACCCTCAAAGCAGAAGCACCAGTGATCACTGAGCCCCCCAGCAGCCCTCTTGGAAGATGGTTACCATGCAGTGATCCATGAGGGACTGGCACATGCTTCTCAGCTCGACAGCACTGCTGTTTTATTGGGGTACGTGTTAAGATGAAGAACTCCTAATCCTTTACAAAGACTTTTTCACAGACTGGAGGTAGTTGCACTTCAACTACAGACGGTCCCTCGCTCGTAGGATTAGTTCAGACTTGTGACCCTCTAAGAAAGCAGAACCTGAACAACGTCTACCCTTAGAAGACAGTATGGAAAAGGACTAGATAAAAAGACAAAGAAGATGATCTGAACTTGCAAACAGCTTTCCCTCAACCCAGCTCAACACCCCACGATCACCAGAGCAGGCTGTCTTTGAAACCAAACACGGCAGTAGGACCTGGCTTGACAGGACACCCAGCATCTCCCGAAACGCACACCGCTCTTCTGGGGTCAAACTGATTTATGCAAGCATAAGAGAAAGAGGTGTTAAGGCAATGATACTTACAGCTCGTTGACGGGCTGTCAACCACGTCCAGATCCGCTCTCCGGAAGCCGTGCATCTGGCGTGACGAATGCAGCGTCGACTCGATGGCTCTCTCGTGGGCGGTCAGGACGATGGCCGAGGGCCGCCCCGCGCTGCCGGGGCTGGAGAGGGACCTCTGCATGAATGCCAGTTTGTCCTTGGTCCTTCTCTTCATGTCGTCCCATCTGTGTTTAATGTCTTTTACAGACCTGGGGACCTGGCTGACTGATGTGATCTGCCTGGCTATGCCTTCCCAGATCTTGTCCCTGTCAGCATGGGATAGACGCATCGTCTCCCTCCCAAACAGCATGGCTTCATTTCGGGTCACCTCAGTGACCAGAATGTCCAGTTCTTCCTTGGAAAACTTGGGCTTCCTCTTTCGTTCAGCCATGTTCCTTGGGTTGAACATCCCACAAAGCACAATTGGGTAAAAGGAAATCAGCGCAAAGCATCCCCCTGCATCCAACCATTTGGCACCGGGACAAGGGGGGGGGGGTTTGGTGGGATCCAGCTCCCCCCACCCCACAACAACCTCTCAGTTTTCCTCAATCAGGGAAAGGCAGCCGTTTTTGTTTTTAAGAGGCAATTTTCAAGCTTAAGAAAAAAAAAAACCAAAACAACACACAACACCAAGCGACACTAGTGTGAAGGAGCCTTCTCAGCTTTACAGTTCAACCGAGAACTTCGCACCTCGGCTGATGCCCTGACTGACGGGTGAGAATTTCGGCACGGCCTCACATCACCTGCCGCGCGTCCTGACGGGTGAGAATTTCGGCACGGCCTCACGTCACCTGCCACGCATGAGAGCTCACAACCAAACTGAAAAACTAGCTCCTAAGATGACACAGCTCAAAAATGGGCTCTCGAGGAAATCCGGAGGCCCGACACCTGCCTGGCACAACACGCAACGGCACGTTTCACACCACCCTTTTGGTTAAAACCGTCAGGACGTCACGCAGAGGCTACACCAAACTGGGTTTCTTTTCAAGGAAGGGTTAATTTCAAGTAGAGTCAGAGGGAATTCCTGCCACTTGCTTTTCTGCAGCAGCAGGGGGACTGCACATCCAGCATTTGCTTCTCACAACAAGCTCTTGTTTTACCCAGAAATGGTTGTTGTTTCCTATTGTTCTCAAAAGGGATGAGGCCACCCACTTGCTTTTCCCGGCCGGGCTGGGCTGTCGCTGCTGCCGGCAGGAGCCTGCACCCGGTTTCTGGTGCTTCCAAGGAACAACTCGTGGCCTCAGCCCATTGAGAAACCTCAGTGGGACTGCGGGCAGAGGAGAAATCCACAGCCCAGGCAGTGGACACCTACATATAAGCGTGCAAAACAGCCCTGAAGGGATCAGAAGGCCATGGAGGACCAGACCGGTGGTGAAAACTCAGCGTAAGCCTTGATTTGAATTATAGCAGCGCCAAGTCAAATGCCAAAACTGTTACTCTAGTGCCATATGTTAGAAAAAGAGGTCTTTTACACATCTTCATACAAGTAAAAGCAGGGATGTTGGGGACTTTTTTTACAGATGTCAACCTCTGATGTTCACGTCATACAGTCCTTAATACTTTAAAATTAAGTTCTGGGATAGAAATCTACGCGAGTATAGGGTTATGGTGGAGAAAGCAACACTCATCTGAGGTAGAAGACTTCAGTGTTAATATAAATCACTCCAAAAAGCTGTCACTACAAACCCAGAAAATTAATGTTTGAAAAGGATATTAAGATGGAACATACAAGAAATAAGACGTCTTAATGGGTTAGGGCACCTAACAACTCTAACTCTCAAGTGATACCATGGGAGGGAAATCCCATTAGCTTCCCCATGTGTTAGTTTTCTTTCTGCTTATCTAGATACCTGCTAGTAGATATTACCTACTAGTAATCTCATCTTTGGTTTCATTTAATTTAGGACCTACTGTTAGCATCTTTGCAATGTTAGGGGAATAAGCTCTGGCTGGGATAATTCAGACCGTCCTCTTTCCAAAAACTACACGAATCCTAATGCCTTGGCTGGATGTCCCATCTCTGGCAGGCAGACTTTAGCCACCCCAAAGTACTTTCTGAAGAAGCTGGTGTAAGCAAAATTTAGGACCTACTGTTAGCATCTTTGCAATGTTAGGGGAATAAGCTCTGGCTGGGATAATTCAGACCGTCCTCTTTCCAAAAACTACACGAATCCTAATGCCTTGGCTGGATGTCCCATCTCTGGCAGGCAGACTTTAGCCACCCCAAAGTACTTTCTGAAGAAGCTGGTGTAAGCAAAGGCCTCAGCAGCCTCCCTGCTGGTCCCATGTGGGTGGTGGCCCCGCTGGCACCTCCTCAGAGATGGGTGCCTTTCAGTGCTGCTGTGGCCCAGCAGAAGAGAGGTGGTCTGAGACACGCTCAAGTGAAAGGTGCTTGTGGGCTGCAGACCAAGAAAAACCTACAGAAAGGTAGAGTGACCCTCGTCAAACATCATCTTAGTTTCCCCTTAGTGCTGCTACACTGCTGTTTAATGAATCTCCCTGACACCGCTGCCCTTCCATGGGGGTACCAGAAGTTGTTAACCTTGGTTAAAGCTGGAAAACCAGTAGGAAGTGCTCTCAAATCCAGGCCACGTACAGGGAGAGCTGGGAGCTACACGCACACAGATGCATTTCACTGGGACAAATAGAAACGCATCCTTGAGATACTGGTTTCGTAGAGCTTAAGTTACGGAGGGATAGAAAGGAGCAGTTAGGGAAGATGGCAATGAAATGATGGAGAGCCAGCAAAGCACTTGCTACACTGACCTCAAGGGGGAAAAAAAAGGTGTTCTCCCAGCTAAACACTAGAAAGAGAGAGAAGGCTATGTGGAACACTGAGCAAGGGAACATTTACAGCTTGGTTTTTATCACACTCAGTAAAACTGGGCTTCGTGTATATTCCCCGCAGGTGCCCCTGACTGCACAGGGCCACCAGTGCCTCCGTGTGGTGGCAACAAACCTCCACTGACAAGCTGCTCTGGTGACAAGGATTTGCAAGACGGCCTGGGTAGGGGTGAGTTTACAGAAGAGAAGTCCCTCCGGAGCTGCTGTGGCATCAGGAGAGCCGTGCCCCCTCTGCCCTCCTGAATTCATGGCTGCTGGAACTGGCCAAGCTGCACCCATGGGGAATTACAGCCCCTTTGGGCTCCTCCCAGGCAGGGCAGCCCAGGAAGCCTATTTAGGACAAGACCTGGATATTCAGATTTCAGGGTTTCCCCTCACTTGCTCCAGTATGACTCGGGTCAAAACTATTTAAGATAACTTAAGTATTCCAACAGCAAACTCACCAGGCAAAAAGTAATGAGTCCTGGCCGGTTTTAATCACGAATTCAATTAACGTTAAGTTCCCAGCAGGCACATTAACCTTCCCCTCATAAAAACACAGACAGTATTACTGTCTGAGAGACCTTTTTCCCCTCGAGCATTTCCTCCAGCATGCAAAGATGTCCCTGAGAGCAGTCACCGATATTTGGAAGTACCTCCCTGGGGATGCCGGGTGGATTTTAGCACGCTCCGGAGGAGCCCCAGCAATTTCCCCCCTCCACCCTTCCAGGTCAACCTGAAAGTGCAAGACTCTACAGCTATTTCTTAAAAAAACACACGTGACGTTGTAAACTATGTGAACAGTGGGCACTTAATGGTCAACTCACAAAGATATCTACTGGCTCCACTCTTCTGGGCCTCTCAGAAGCAAGCATATAACCACTTCAGAGACTTGGGGAATTAGGTTGTTTTTTTTTTTTTTTTTTTTTAGCCTTGGTCTCACTTTTTAAGTACTACTCAAGTGAAAAACCAATAGTTTGTCATGACAAATTACTTCCCACAAATCATTCTACTTTGATGGGAATAAAATAAGTCTTGAAATTTAGTACTTAAAACAAAATGTAATATGAAATTTTCTCTAACAGAGACTGGGGACAAGTATTAAAATAAAGAATACTAAACACTTTCAAAGATATCTCTGAGAAACTGGTTCAGTGCTTTAATTTCAAGCATGGAATACGTGGGCAATACACTTAGTCTATAGCAATATTCTTTCCTTACCATTTAATACTGAGTCTTTTTAATTAATACTACCCAGAGATTTGGAAGAGCCACTGGACTCTAACAAGCTTTAGGATTAGGTTAAGTACTAAATACATTGGATA